TGCGCCGGGTATTTAATGTTCGGCTCCGCCCGAACTTAGACTTTCTTACTTGTTTTTTATTGACAGTGTTACGCATTTTTATACCCGAGCGCACTTGTGCACAAGGGTATTATAACTTTGTTCACATAACGGTTGTTTGTAACAGGCAAAACGAATCGAGATAGATATAGACAAATGTATACATAAATGATCAGAATGAAAAGAGAAATCGATTAAGCGGTGACTGTCTGTCCGTCCGTCGGTCCGTCTGTCCGTCCGACCGTCTGTTCGTCCGTCCGACTGTGCACACGATAACTCGAGTAAAAATTTAGGTATCTTAACGAAACTTGGTACGTTCACTTCTTTCGGGCGTAGGACGGATGGTATTGAAAATGGGAAAAATCGGACAATAACCACGCCTACCTCCCATATAACGGTAATTTTCATAAATACGTAAACTGCGATATTTTAGTCACTTCTGCAAATTATTTACTCAAAATTTATATTTACAATAGCTTTTAGACGAAAAATGAGAATATTATAAATTTTTGGAAAATGGTCGTAGCTACGCCAACTTGTGGTTACATGTTTATGGCTTGGTAACCGCTTCACCATTTTCTTCCAAACTTGGCACAGTTGTTAACCTTGCTACAGCATACCAAATGGCCAAACAAATTTAAAACCGGACAATAACCACGCCCACATCCCATATAACGGTAATTTCGAGAAATACAAAATCTTCGATAAATCAGTCGATATTAAAGCTAATTGATTCGAAATTGATGCTTGCAACAATTCTTTACCAAGGAATACGTTTATGATAAACTTTTGGAAAATGGGCGTGGCGCCGCCCACTTATGATCACATATATGTATCTCGGTAACCGCTCTACCAATTTGTACCAAACTCGGTATGTTTATTGTGCTTGCCACATAAAAGCAACACGTTGAAAATTATCAAAATCGGACGAAAATTGAGGCCGCTTTTCATATAACGGTAAATTTCAGAAATGCTTGAAACTTCATTATTTCGAAATTTAAGGACGTTGATTTACTCAAAATTGATACACCCCGTCTTACCATGTAGCGGTAGCTTTCGGAAAGGTGAAAATCATATATATTGAATACTTGCGCCGGGTATTTAATGTTCGGCTCCGCCCGAATTTAGACCTTCTTACTTGTTTTCATACAAAGTATGTATGTATATTCGACGTTGTTTTTGAAATAGAAGCAAATGAGCAG